ATATATATATATATATATATATATATATATATATATATATATATATAGAGAGAGAGAGAGAGAGAGAGAGAGAGAGAGAGAGAGAGACAGAGTCTCACAAAGTTGCTTAAGTCTTTGCTAAATTGCTGAGTCTGTCTTTGAACTCACGATCCTCCTGCCTCAGCCTCCAATGCAGGCCTGTTCTTAAGCAGACAAAACAATTTCCTGTCTTCCAAGAAGTACTTCTGAAATGGTGTTGTTAGGTTAGTAGATTAGACCAAACAGAAATGGATTTAGACTCACATAATTTGTAGAAGGTCTGACCAATCCTTTTTTTTTAATATTTATTTTTAACTGTAGTTGGACACAATACCTTTATTTTATTTATTTATTTTTATGTGGTGCTGAGGATCGAACCCAGGGCCTCGCACGTGCTAGGCAAGTTCTCTACAGCTGAGCCGCAAGCCCAGCCCCATGACCAATCCTTTGACTCACCAGAAATGAGCAGAAGAGAGTAAAAAGCAAAAAGTAGCATAACCTCCCCAAATTTCCCTCCTTGTTACAACCTCCCTTCCCAGGACAGTTTTAGTTAAGTTCCCATGATGCTTTACTCCTGCAGGTGTTTGGAGGCCATGATTAAGTACCTCACACTGTGGAAGAAAGAGGGGCAGGAGGAGCCCTATGTCAGCCTCACCAGAAAGAAGATGCTAATAGATGGCGAGGAGGTGCTGATAGAATGGGAGGTGGGCCACTCCATCCGGACCCTGGCTATGCATCGCAATGCCTACAAACGTATGTCACAGATCCAAGCCTTCCTGGGCTCAGTGCCCCAGCTGACCTATCAGCTCTATGTGACCCTGATCTCTGCAGAGGTCCCCCTGGGTAGAGGTGAGTGGGGTCAGGAGAGGGGAGGGATCCACTTAAATCAAGGGTCTTAGAAGTTTAGCCTTGAGCTGTCCAATATACTGGCCACTAGCTTCATGTGACAATTTCAATGAGAATTAAATAAGATTAGAAATATACTGGTTCAGTAATACTGGCCACATTTCAAGTTTTCAATAGCCATGTAGGTTAGTGACTATTGTTTTGAATGGCACAGATTTAGAATATTTCCATTATCACAGAAAATTCTGAACAGCACTAGTAGTTAAAAAATTTAGGGAGTCAGGCATCTTAGGCCTGCCTGATTTTTAAGTTGGAGCAAACTGTTTAAACTAAAAATGTTACAGATAAACCCTACCTGGCCTCAAAAGAAGCTAGTAACACCAACAGTCAGTAGGATATTTTCCCTTGTTCAGAGTGTTTAAATTATGATGTTAGTTGTTTTGTTTGTTTAGGGATGGCCATCTTTAGGAAGAGGTTCCCAAATATTACTGATCATCAGAATCATGTGGTAAGGTTCTTTTTAAATCACATTTCCTCCCCAGATCTGAATTAACCCCAGAATGTGGGAAGGTCAGGAATCTGCATTTTTATGAAGTACCTTAATTGATTCTGAGCAGCCTGATTTGGGAACCACTAATTTAATCATTTTCTCCCAATGTCAGTGAAGAGAAAGCAAAAGGGTATGGGATGAATACTGAGGAGAATCAGACCTGGGTTCAAGTTCTGACCCTTGCTGTAATCTTTGGAGGAAGTTATAAAGCAGTCACTGTCTTAATTTTTCACTTGTAAAAAAATGGATCCTGAGATGAGTAAGACCTCCAGCAGAGGATGAAATGTGAGTCAGTGTTTTCAAAGTCAAGATAAAGTGCTGTTAATGAGTTTTAACAGCCTGTGATTTGCTTCATCTGCTTGGACAGAAGCTGGTACGGGTGTGGGTACAGCTTTGGATCATTATTTTTTTTTATTATTTTGTGTTGATCCTGCTTGGCAAAGTCCCCTGTCTCAAATGCAAGGAGAACTAATTCCACTGAGAACATTTCATAAAGTTCTATTGGTTCTGAAGCTTTTCATATACATAGAATTGACAGTAGTTTCAGGGAAATGATGATGGTTTTCCTCTTGAGAATTTTGAGGGTCATGAAATCTTCCAATTAAGATACATACATATACTACAAAAGTAATACATGTGCAAAGTGATTGACCTATAGACAATTGTATATACACAGGAATTTTCCAGAAAGCTATGAAAGATATTACCTCTGAAGAGTGGGAATGACAAATTAGCAGACTTTTATTTTTACTTCAGTATGGCTTGAAATTTTTGCCAAGATCATGTACTATTATTTTTAGTCATTTTTTAAATTATAAAAATAGGACTAGCTATAGTAAATTCAAAATAAACAATAGATATAAAATAGGAAATGTAAATTCACTCCCCCAAAGTAATCTGTTAGCCATTCAATATGTATCATTCCAGATTTTTTACTATGTAAATATAAACATACAACATATATGTACATGTTTTTGCCAAAAATGGACTGTATTAAACATGTTTTTCAGTGATATCGTCCTCAAAACTATGCTATTTTTCAATAGTTATTTATACATACATGTATAAGTATATAAAATATATTTCTCTTGTATGAATTGGAACATTCTTTTTCATTTCCCTAATTTTCTAAAGTTTCTAATTTTTCACAATTTTTTTCCAATTACAAATTATGCTACCGTTAACATCTTTATAAACATCTATGTATGTGAATTAAACTTTGTACAATAAATATATGGCATTAGGATTTCTGGATGAAAGAAAATGTGTTTAGAATTTTATTGATGCTGCCAAATAACTCTCTGAAAAGGGGTTTATGAATTTATACTCCCATTCACAGTATATAAAAGTATCTGTTTCCTCATATCTCAAACTAAATATTTATTTTTATAATTATAAGTAACTGGCTTTTAAAATAATTGGCTTTCTTTGTGGCTATAGCTAAGTATCTTTTATGTTTGCTCCTTGTATGTGTTCTTTGAATTGCTAATTACATATTTTGCTCACTTTTTCTAGTGGATTGTTTATCTTTCAAATTAATTTGTAGGAGCTATTTACTTATTCTAGCATTAATTCTTTTTTTTTGCTATGCACACAAACATGTGCATACATGTTTGTATATTTTTGTGTTTAAAATACACACATTTTCTATGTGCATATACATATCACACATGTGCAATACCCTACACTTAATGTGCACAATATACTTTGCTATGTCTTCTGGTATTGTGAATTATTACATTTTTATGTATTCAAATTCTTTATTGCTTATAGATTTTGTGTCTTTCTTACAAGAAAGGCCTTTTAGAGTCTTAGCTGATAGAGTAATTTACTCATCTTCCAAATATATTAGTGTCTAATATAAATTTGTCAATTTCCCCACCAAAGAATAAAGCAAAGCAAAATAATAACCAAAAAAATCACATTTCATGGAGATTCTGATTGAAATTGCAGTAAATTATTCAAGTTATGGGATGTTCACAGGATCAATCAAATTCATATAGGAAGATGATAAATCTCCATTTCATTAAATGTTTTAATTATGTAGTTTTCTCACCATAGGTCTTGAACTTTAAAAAAATTTTATTAATTTATTTTTATTGTTTTCATTATCAATGGACCTTTGTTTTATTTATTTATATGCAGTGCTGAGAATCGAACCCAGTGCCTCACACATGATAGGCAAACACTACACCACTGAGGCACAACTCCAGCCCAGGTCTTGAACATTTTAAAGCTTATTTCTAGGTGTTCTTTCAGTTTTAAAATATTAGTTTTTTTTAACTTTTATTTATTTTTATGTAGTGTTGAGGATCGAACTCAGTGCCTCATACATGCTAGGCAAGCGCTCTACCACTGAGTTCCAACCCCACCCCTTAAATGCTAGGTTTAAGTGCAAGGACAGAGCACTGGTAAAGTAAATGTACATACTATAAATTTTAAATGGTGGGGGGTGGGGGGTGGAGAGAGTAGAAAGACAGAAACTAGCAGATCAGATAGCTTTTATTAGGTTTCAGGCATTTCTCTAAGCAATTTACATGTAATTATTTCATTTCATCTTCAAAACAGTTCTTCAAGGTTATTATTAACCCCTTCTTATGAATGAGGAAACAGACTCTGAGAGGTTAAGAAAATTCCCCAAGGTCTTATAAGTAGTAGATGGCAAAGATTGGATGGAAATTCAGGATGTGTGCCTCCAGAGCCTATGTCTCTAACTATAGCAGCATCTTGATCTCTTATGGCATGAATCTATTTGTAGGGAGACATATGGAAAATGTTTTTCCATTTATTGGAAGCATCAGGTTTCCTTCCTTCTATTGTACTACTTTCAATAAATGAGTTCTAATTTAAGAGAAGGCATTAGACACTTGACACTTGGCTCAATGTATAGCTGATGTTCCCATGTCCACAAAGAGTATCATTTCCTGAGGATAGGAATGAGAGTGGTTTAGAAATACAAAAGTACTAGGTTGGGCTCAGTGGCACATGTCTGTAATCCTGGCAGTTTGGGCGGCTGGGGCAGGAGGATCGCAAGTGTGAAGCCAGCCTCAGCAATTCAGTGAGGCCCTAAGCAACTTAGTAAGACCCTATCTCAATATAAAATATAAAAGGGGGGCAGTGTTGCTCAGTGGTTAATCTCCAGTACAAAAAAAGAAGAAATTTAAGAGTAGCCACTTCGAGAGTCTCCCACTCTATTCTTTAAGATTCCAACACTACTTATTAGTTGAAGAAAATTCTTAGAAATGAAAGCTGTATTTTCTTTTGTATTTTCATGGGGAAGGCTTCACTTTTCTTGAAGATTAACTTGATATACTATGGCTCAAGTTTCTCTGGATCCATTATTTTTATAGGAAGAGAAAACTACAGATTTTCTTTTGGGGGAATACTCCTTGAACCTTCCACTTTTCTTGAGAGCACTAAACCCCGCCCCTCACCCCTGCATCCCAGTAATCAGTATACTTTAACCAAAAAAAAAAGATAAGCAGAGGGCCACCTGTATGGTGTATAGTTAAGGAAGGTTAGGGAGCATTCTGCCTTTCTTGGCCCCTACTTTAACATCTAGTGCTATGGATGCCATGGACTGGGAAACAGAGTTTTAATGTTTTTGAACCACTCTACTGGAAGTTCAGAGATTCCTAATGTATACTAACAAATAGGAGTGATGAATTGGCATTGCTGATGACAAATACAAGCAACTCTAGACTATCTCATGAATTGGGAAACTGAGGCACATAGATATTCAATGATTTCACAAGCTCATACACAGCTGAACCAAGGACTTCTAGGTATTTTATACTGCTTCTCTAAACTCAAAATTCTTCATTAATTCCACACACATTTATTGTGCATCAACCATATTCTAGTCAGTATGTTAGGCTCTGAGGATACAGTAGTGGATAAAATAGATATGATCTCCTCTGCCCTCATGAAATATTTAGTATACTTTTTGACACATGCAACTGGAGTTAAATATTCTAGAAGTCCGCACAAAGAAGATTTGCTCCTTGAAGAAAATATACATCAAAGAAGGGACTTCAATTAGAAAATACATTCTCTGAGTCTCCTAAGCTTGGATTTTTTTCAGAAAGTTTATTTATTTATTTATTTCCCTCATACAGTTTTTGCTCAGAAGCCTGCTCTGTTAGATAGTCCTACCTGGAACCTTTATATGTCCTTTTCTTATATTAGTGACTTCTCAGTGTTTTAAGACCTACTCTTTTAAAAAAAGCTTAGTTTGTACATTTATGATTATTAATGTATTACAGTATATGTTTATACTGAGCTATACTCCCAGCCCTCACTTTGATTTTGATTTGCTTTTCCCTGATGATTAGTGATATTGAACACCTTTTCATGTATCTCTTGGCCATTTGGTCTTCTTTGCAAACACGTCTATTCAGGTGCATGTTATTTGTTTGCATAGCTGTTATCATACATTAATTTACTCTTAGGTGAGGCTCTGAAGTCCTACCTATCATCTCTGGACCTCTGGGTCTGAGTACAGGTTTTATACCAACATTGACTGCTTGCCTCTCCCCCCCTCCCCTGTTCCTTGTTTTGTTTTATTTTTACAGCTGTGCTAATGGTCTTTTCCCTGATGTCTGTAACCTATGGGGCTACCCTCTGCAATATGTTGGCTATCCAGATCAAGTATGATGACTACAAGATTCGCCTTGGGCCACTAGAAGTCCTTTGCATCACCATCTGGAGGACATTGGAGATCACTTCCCGCCTCATGATTCTGGTGCTCTTCTCGGCCACCTTGAAGTTGAAGGCTGTGCCCTTCTTAGTGCTCAACTTCTTGATCATCCTTTTTGAGCCTTGGGTTAGGTTCTGGAGGAGTGGTGCCCAGATGCCCAATAATATTGAGAAAAATTTCAGCCGTGTTGGCACCCTGGTGGTGCTGATTTCAGTCACCATCCTCTATGCTGGCATTAACTTCTCTTGCTGGTCAGCTTTGCAGTTGAGGTTGGCAGACAGAGATCTTGTTGACAAAGGTCAAAACTGGGGACATATGGGCCTGCACTATAGTGCGAGGTTGGTAGAGAATGTGGTCATGGTCTTGGTTTTTAAGTTTTGGGGAGTCAAAGTGTTGCTGAATTACTGTCATTCCTTGATTGCCCTGCAGCTTATTATTGCTTATCTGATTTCCATTGGTTTTATGCTACTTTTCTTCCAGTACTTGCACCCATTGCGCTCACTCTTCACCCATAACGTAGTAGACTACCTCCACTGTGTCTGCTGCCATCAGCACCATCACCGAAGGGCTGAGAACTCAGAGCCAAGCTTTGAGGCTGAAACAAGACAAAGCATTGTCTGATTCTATCTTCTGGGAATCATGGGATGGTTTGGGGGTTGCCAATATCAACTCTGAAATTGAAGGAGAGGGTGAGGCTCATGGATGAGTACTCAACAGAACATTTTCTTGAGTATTCTGGTAAGTCTATCAGAAGAGTGACCCCCAAATAGGTTTTACTTCTTGGAGATTTACTGCTATGTTTGGAAACCAGGAGTGGAATAGTCAGAAATATTGTCCACACCCCTTCTACCCAGATCAGTTGAGATAACTGACCTCTAAGCACCTTAGGCTCTCTGTGACTTTGCAGGTCTGCTTGTTTGCTTGGGGCAAAAGAGTTTGCCCAAAAGGTGCTGAAGACTCAGAATCTCACTAGAATATATCCTGCTGAACAGATTATGTGGCAGCTTACTAGCTATGGATTCCTCTCAGGAAACCCTCTGACTATTGTGGAACCTACAGATATGAATGTGACTAGAATCTTTTAACTCCAATGAGAAGCTCTGACCAAGAAGAAAAGCCCTACCGTTAAAAGTGCTGCTCCCCCGATGTATTAGATCTCTATTAGGATTTTACTAATGGCCATTCACAGGTCATTTGAAGTGGCCTTTCATAGGTATACCTTGAGGAGGGAGTGCAGGGTAGGGTTCCTTCAGGATGTAAGCCAGAATGACTCTTTTCTCAGGAACCTGCTTGGGCATCCAGTTTGTCAAGTGGAATGGTTGAGTGAAATCTCTTACTTATTGCCTCATTAACAGGGATTCCCTCTAACCCAGCTTTTCTGTGCTCTTGTCATTTTACTATTTGATGTAGGCCTCAGGGAATCTGAAATGTAATTGAAACTGTTTCTCTATATGAAAGAAATGAAGACTTCTTTGTGTCTGCTACTGTCCTGGGTATTTCATTGATCTGTGGTTTGCATTTTAGGACAGGAGAAAGAGAAAGTAATAATGGCTGGGTTATCACCTTCATGTTGCTTGGGGTTGGGATGGGTGGCTAACACTCCAAAGTAGAGTGAACATAGAGAAGGGAAACCAGATAACATTAAATTACCATGGGTACTTGTTTTTGTTTGCAGGACTTTACTTTCTAACAAGGAATATGGGTTTCTCAACCCCTCTGACCATTCTCAGAACCAGTGAACGAATTCATACCTCCCTTTCTCATGTATCTCAATGTTTACCTTTCATGTTTACATCTCATTGTGGGAATGTAAGCTGGATGCCTCTAAAGTAACCAAGGAATTGAGGTTACTATGACCACTTCCTATTGTGACCAAGTATTCCAATAATTATCTAAGGAATGTTTTTCCTCCACAGACCAGGAAAGTGAGTAGTCCTCCTAGTACTATGTATAGTTGTGGCCACCCCCAATGCTTCAATAATTTATAAACAATCTGACCTAAACTTTTCCATCCCTATCCACTTTTACTCTTGGGATTATGCTAAGAAATTTATCTTTGTAAAGGGAAGGCCAGTAATGTAGAAGAAAGAGATCCAGAGGTACAGTGGAAGGATGGGAAAGGGGAGGCAATGCAGAACGAATTCTTAAAAAATCATGTTATGTGCATATATGAATATACCACAGGGAATTTCACCTGTATATATAAGTAAAAAGAACCAGTCAAGTATAAATAGATGAGTGTAAGGAAGTCTAATAGAGTAGAGAAAGAAGAACAAGGGAGGGGAGGGAGGGAAGGAGGGAAAGGGAAGGATCATGAACTGAATTTGAATTCCGTGCATGGTTTGTTGGGATGAATCCAACTACTATGTGTAACTATAAAGCTCTAATTTTTAAAAAGAAGTCAAAAATATTTTTTTGTGTATGTCATTTCCCCTCCTATTTACTTATTTATTTATTTGGTACCAGGGATTGAACTCAGGGGCACTTGAGTACTGAGCCACATCCCCAGCCCTATTTTGATTAGAGACAGGGTCTCACCGAGTTGCTTAGCACCTCACCATTTCTGAGGCTGGCTTTGAACTTGGGATCCTGCTATCTCAGCCTCCTGAACCTCTGGGATTACAGGCGTGTGCCACCATGCCAGCTATGTTTTTCATTTTTATTTGTGCATTATAGTTGTACATAGTGGTGGGATTTGTTGTTATATATTCATGCATGCATATAACAATTTCCCCTCTTCTTATCCAGTGTTAGGGCATTCAATATATTGAGGGAGCTCCCTCTTCTAAGTAGCAAGGAGTTAACCAGAATTATCCTATTTCCTGGCATGGCTAGTGTGGTTTTCCCAACTTCAGCAACCGTTTGGAGTTAAAAGAATTAGCTACTTAATTTGGAGGAGATGTAGGGACTTACTTTGGAGCAACAGAGATTTTCTTTTACAAACCCAGTTCCCTCATTCCATTTTTCATGATGAAGAGACTAAGCTGATTGTCCTATAAAGCTCACACTGACTTCTGTTATTTGAGGTGAACTTGAAAGAAAGAATCCATCAGATCTCTAGAAGAACACACTGCCTCTTTGGAATTCAAACAAGAATTTCTCCTCAATTGTTAACATGCCCTTGATTTAGAGCAGAACCAGCATGGAACAATAATTTGGTCCATAAAAGCCAAGTGAATCAGCTAGTTAAGAGGAGGCTACTATGGAAACAGAGAGAAAGACGCACACACACATACACATATGCACACATGGAGTCAGGCAGATCAATTACAGATAAAGAGAAGATGCACAGGGCAGAAAAGTGTTCTTCAGTACTGGACAAAGCAAAATTTTCTCCCCCATGTCCTCCAGCTGCAGTGACTTAATGTGGTAGGAATGTAGAGAGTTTAGGGAGAGGGTGTGGAGTAGCTTCCAACCTGAAAAACTTGCTGTCCTCACCCAAGGAGGAGACTCTAGTGATACATTATACAAATGAACCCTCAGAACCTCTTATAGGTGGTGGCTTTTCTGTTCCACAGAAATCTTCCAGATACACAGAAAGGAATTGTGGAACATAAGGTGGTGGGCAGGGGAAGTACCACCTTCCATGGCAAACACATCTTTAATTGACAAATCTCTTTTTGATCCTCTGAAATCTTACAGCAGCACAGGGGACATGTGTGGGGATAAGTCTTACTGAGTAAAAGAGGAGGCAGAGATGGGGTCAATAAATGGTTTCTGGAGAAGGAAGCAGAATCGTGGAAGTCTGAGGAAAGGAACTAGGCTATTGTAACAACACATATTCTCATTTTTGGGAATTTGATAGGCTAAGTGTGAGTAAAATATCCTGTTAGGGAAATATAAATGAACTAATAGTTCCCAATTTCTTTGCTCCACAAATACTTTAAAGATTTTGGGGAATGAACTGGGAGGTACTGTGGGAGAATTGAATAATAGCTTGTATTTCTGGGCACTTTTTGTCTGTCATAGGTCCTTTATACACATTACTTTGTTCAATTCTTACAAGCAACCTGATGAAGCTATTGTTATCATCTTTATCATCTTCCACTTTACAGGTGAAGAATATAAGGCATGGAAAAGTCAAGTGACCTGGGCTGGGGTTGTTGTTCAGTGATAGAGCACTTACCTAGCATGTGTGAGGCACTGGGTTTGATCCTCAGCACTGAATATAAATAAATAAAATAAAGATCCATCAACAACTAATAAATATATTAAAAAAAGAAAATTCATGTGATCTGCCCAAGGTCACAGCTAGTATCAGAGCCAGGATTCAGTCTTAGGCTCATAGGTTCCAGAACTTAGTCTTAACTATGACCCAAGCCTCTTGAGTCCTCTTTGGTCTTTGTGAAATTATTTTAATATGTTCCTGGTTTCAGGAGTATTTTCTGAGCTATGAATGGGTTTGTGCCAAACATTTTTTCCCACAAACACTTCTTATCAGAGAATAACCCTCAATTCACAGTAAAAAGAGAAGGCACAAGTTCTTAGAAGCCTGGGATGAAACTGAGCACATGCTTCCATGCATTTGTAGGTTAGTATTAAGGAGGTGTGAGAGAGTACGGTAAAGGAGCACATTTCCTTTCTAATTTCAGACTTTGTTTCATTTTGTTCTTAAACATACCTTCAAACTTTTCATGGGAAGAAAACTAGAGAGCAATTTATACTCAGGCTTGTATGAACTTTGACCCCGGAAACAATCCATCAGGGAAGTTCCTAACCCATTTCTTTTACACTTCCTCTTGCCAACACTGTTCTTACTCCATTGAGAAGCTGACTCCTTGTTCTAGAGCAGGCCAGGGGAAATGGATGCTGAAGAATAATGACCCTCTTTCTGCTATCATAGTCCTAAGGACTTAGGTCAACTTTCAGTGCCCTCAACTAGTCCCCACACACCTCATAAGGGTGTAGTCCTTAGTGTTGCATAGTTTATTGTCACTTCCCAGGGTGGAGGCAGGGTAGATACATAGGGTAGGATGCCCACCAGAATGGTCCATCTAAAGCCATGAAGCTCTGTCTCTAAGAAATCCTTAAATACATAGGTGACTATGAACTCTCCAAAATACTTGCCTATCCAAGAGGGAATACTAATTCTTTGAAGCTTTTGCAATTGTGCTATTTTTACTATCATTAGAGAACACATATGTCCATAATCTTATGTCTTTCCTCCTGAAGGACTGGCACAGTTAGTCACACACTTTAAACCTTAAAGCTTGTGGGGGACATGGTCAAAGTATGTTGTGGGCCTTAACAATAAAGCATATACAATGTGAAACAAAAGTAGTGAGTTCAACCTGTGTAATATATGAAAACTAAGTGTGAAAAGACCACATTCCATGCATGAAAATAACATTGGAATAGCACTTTGTAATATACAAGGCACATTTATACACATTATCTGTTCCAAAGACATCATTGCTTAGGACAAGGCTTATGACGTGTTCACATGAATTTGTATTGCTCTAACCTCCAATTCACCAAACATCATTAAGCTTTGTGTGTGTCTGTGTATGCACCAGGAAAAGCAATGTGGCTATTATAAAGTGCTATATAGATGTCAAAAGACTAAAAAATTAATCCCAAATACATGGCATAAGTAATGTTGGAGAAAAACAGGCACTCTCTATTGCTATGAGTGTAGAATATTGCCACACATTTTTTGAATAAGGATTTGTCAAAATGTATGTACATTTTGTATTAGAATTTTAAACTCTTTGATTTTTTTTCCTATGGAAATATGGTTGATTGTACAAAGAGATATGTACAGGGATGTTCATTGCACCACTATTTATAATGGTGAAAATTGGTAATAAATTTTCATCTATGGGGACATGATTAAACTCTGGCAATTCCATTATTGGAATGCTATCTATCCATTAAGAAGAGTGGGGTAAATCCTACACCTTAGGAGGCTGAGGCAGGAGGATTATGAGTTCAATGTCAGCCTTAGCAATTTAGGACCTAAGCAACTTGGCAAGACTCTGTCTCTAAATAAAATTTTTAAAAAGGGCTGGGTGTGTGGCTCAGGGGTTAAGCACCACTTCTGGGTTCAATCCCCAGTGGAGAAGGAGAAGGAGAGGAAGAGGAGGAAGAAGAGGAGGAGTCGATGTATACAGCATGTGCAGAGTGAAAGGATAAGTGACAATATCCAAGTTGAATAAAACACAAGATGAGGTTATAAAGAATCATTCAAATTTGGAAACAAGGGTGTGATAGGAAGAATATGACCCCACCAATACCCCCGGTGATATTGATATCCTATTCCTTTTAACATGTGAATGTTATGTTACATGGCTAGGGGAATTAGGGTTGCTAATCAGTTGACCTTGAAATAAGTTGCCTAGTTATGCTTGATGTAGTCATTAGGGTCCTTATAAGAGAGAAGCTGATATGAAGATGAAGGCTGATAGATTTGAAGAAGATTTGCAGTTGGCTTTTTGGATTAGGTACTGGGGATTGAACTCAGGGTACTTGACCATTGA